CCGCCGGCGCGGTGCCCGTCGGGAAGGAGGCGGTGTCATGGCGGCGGCGGGTCCCGAGCGGCCGCGGCCCGCAGCGCTCACCCTGCTCGAGCCGGCGCCCGGCGCGCCCAGCTGCCCTCACGGTGAGCCGGGCTCGGAGGGTACCTCTCGAGCGTCCCTGTGCTCGGCTCCGTGCCTGGGCTGTTCTGCAGCAGCCTTTGCGAAGGCGTTGTTCTGGAAGCTCGGCTCTTGCAGCGGAGCAGTGAAAGATCTGCAGGTGTTCCCTGTGTTATCGTACCCTCCACATTTGTCCCTAGGTCCTGCACTTCTGTTTGTGAAGACCAGCCAAGGAAAGGAGGAAGGAAGAAGATTCTATGCTTGTTCGGCTTGTAGGGATAGAAAAGATTGTAACTTTTTTCAGTGGGAAGATGAGAAGGTAAGAGAGCAGTGCTTGAGGCTATGCTAAAGACTCAGGGCCACGAAGGTGGTCAGAGGTCTGGATCACCTCTCCTATGAGGAAGGGCGGAGAGAGTTTGGGTTATTCAGCGTGGAAGAGAGAAGGCTTCCTCCGGGATGTCCTTATAGCAGTCTCCCAATACCTGAAGGGGGGCCTCCAAGAAATCTGGAGAGGGACTTTTTGCAAGGGCAAGTAGTGAAAGGACAAGGGGTGATGGCTTTAAGCATTAAGAGGATAGATTTAGGTGAGATATTAGGAAGAAATTATTTACTGTGAGGGTGGTGAGGCACTGGAAAAGTTGCCCAGATAAGCTGTGGATGCCCATCCCTGGAAGTATTCAAGGCCAAGCTGCATGGGGTTTTGAGCTACTTGGTCTAGTGGGAGGTGCCCCTAGCCATGGCAGAAGGCTTGGAACTACATGTTCTTTAAGTCCCTTCCAGCTCAAATCATTCTATGGTTTTATGAAACACTGGTGATTTTTTTCTGTATTTAACAATTTTAAAAGTATATTTTATTGTGAAAATCTCTGTGAAGTTCTATTTTCTATAATTTGTGTAATAGTTGATATTTAGCTGAGCACTTAATTCTGTCAGGAGAATGTGTTTCAAGTATAGCTTGAAGAAAGCTATAAAATTCAAGAAAATAAAATATTCAAGAAAGCCTGTGTACATTTTGAGCAAACCTAGCATTTGTTATTCTATTGCCAAAACATATAGGAAGTTTGCCAATGCTATGCAGTGTTGAACAAAATTGGGTACTTCTGATCCCAAGATTCCTTTGTTTCCCCCAGTAAAGATAGCGAAAATCTATTGGATACAAGCAACAGTGGGATATGCAAAATGTTGAGATGGTGGGGCACAGCATGATGCTTAGTAGTCTCAGAATATCTGCAGCAATTCCTCTTTGTCATTCATTTTGAATATCACTTGTATTATGATGTCTTTTCTTGTACTGAATTTTACTGTCTCCTCTTTTAAGCAAAACAGTTCCATAAGATTTGACCAAATGTCTTTGGAACTCTGTTGTGAAACCATGAGTACGTTTTGTGGGAACAAAGTAGAAGACTCAGAGGAGAGCGTGAGAGACTGAAGTGTTAAAGACTCAGGTGCAGATCATAACAAGGATCTGTCATGCTTTTAAAATGATTTCACACAAAAGACTTGGGCAATATTCGTACTTTCATCAGGTTTTCAGGATCAGGTCATAATTCTTCAGAGGGAACACAACTGCTGGCACACATTAATAGAAAGGACGGCTCTTTCTGTCTTCCTCATTATCACCTGTTGAGTTTTTCTCTGAGTATTACATGTAGTAGGAGAATGAAATGCGCAGTTTAAATTCACAATGAGAGGCTTGTGTTGTTTTGTAGCCTGCCCTTGTGCTGCAGACATACTTGTTCTTCTGAAATGGCAAATGTGGTTATTTTTCTTTGCAACAAAGTAGCTAAAGCATGAGACCTTCGATGCACCCTTTTTTCATGTTGAGATTTGATGTACAACACACAGTAGTAGCTGTTAGGTAATGTATATTTTCTTCAGTAAAGATGTAAAAATACAAGTTTAGGTACTCCGAATGTAGAGATAATATTTCAGGATTCTTTAAAGAAATGAGGAGAAATGAAAAGAGGAGTTTGGACAAATAAGAGCTGTTGTATGGCAATGGAAAGGAAATTGCATGAAACATTTAACTAGAGCACAGTATTTTCAAAACAGGAACTGGAGGGGTTAAGGGGTTTTTTGGTGTGTGTATAGTTATTCTTATGTTATAATATGATTACAAGAGGTCAGTAGCAATTTCTGTTAAAAAAATTATTTCTGACTTGTCTGCAAAAGTATCACACTTAACATTGTGAAAAGAAGCAAAGGTAACTTATTAACAAGTAATGCCTGAATTTTGTGTATATGGAACTTTATGGAACTTTGCTGATAGTTGATGGAGTTTTTACTCTGTAATCAAGTTATTTTATGGAGATTCCCAGTAAATTTGGAGACAATATTTTATGCATTTCAAAGTGTCCTTTGAATATTTTTTTAATAAATAATACTTCATTCTCATGGAGTTTTGCAAGAGCGATGTAAACTACATTGTCTGTTTAAATGTCTGAACTCATAAAATACAAAAAAACTCCTCCATAGCTCCCCTTCCTATTTTTGATACAGGCTTTTTTCAAACTTCGTTCCCTATCGCCCTTTGTAGGTACAAGAATTTTGTTCTGTTGCCATTATCAAAGAGGAGGTTTTGCCAGGAATGCCAGCAATTGCTATTGCCAGCAGAATGGGAAGAACACTCGGATCACCAGTTCCTGTATGATATCACCACTGCCCAGCTGAAAAGCCCAAGTCAACTTCTGTATCCACTGGAGAATAAAAAAACAAATGCACAGTATTTATTTGCAGACAGAAGTTGCCACTTCCTGCTGAATCTCCTTATAGATTTAGGATTCAGACGAGTGCTCTGTGTCGGAACACCCAGGTATATCAATGAGAATTCTTACACTTTCAAATAATATTTCTCTCTCAGAACAGTACAGCTTACTAGTGATTACATAGTCAATGATTCTCCCATAATAAAAGGTTCACTATGCTTTAATTGCTTGGGATTATCCAAACATCTAGTGGAGTCTAGCTTTGAACTTAAAAGATATCTCTTATAAGAGAAGACTGTGGGAGCACTGCAGATAACACACATACACACTTTAGATCCCTTTGGTACTTATGGAAGTGACATTGAGTTTCTAACCTTACGCTTTTTTTGTGTGAGGTGGTCCGGTAGGCTCGACTGACTTCTCATCTTTTAAGATTAACCTATTTTTCTGACTTTGAGTACAGGCCAAATGGAATCACCCTAGTTTAGACTACTCTGTTTTCTCTATCTGTTTGGTTTACATTAATAAAGTACCAGACATTCTTGTCCTGCAGGATCATTTCTGAAGTTGGTGATTATGTGTTAAATTTCTTTGTTCCAATTTTTCTTCAGGCTTCATGAAATGATCCATTCAAAAGCATCAGAAGAGGAAGAATTCAGTGTTAGAAGCCTTCTGCTAGATATTGATTTCAGGTAAGTTTTAACAAATGTTTATGTATCTGAAGAATGTATACAAAGATGTGTATTCTAAGTGTTTTAAGAGATAAATTGGTGGTTGTTTTCCCTTTCTTGTCTCTGCATCTCTCTGTTCCCGTACACATACACAAATGACATTCAGTGGATGAGAAAAGTAAGTATACTTAATATTTTCTCAGTATTGGTATGTGTTGTCAGTAATCAGAACCCAAAGATGATGTTTTGCTTGAGGCCTGTTTTTGCTCTGAGTACCTCTTAGGAAAGACAGAGTTATTAATATTTTTCTACTGCTGTCAAAACTTATTTTACAGGTATTCACAATTTTACACAGAGGATGAATTCTGCCACTACAACATGTTCAATCATCATTTTTTTGGTGGAGAGGTAAGGCCATTTATTTATTGAGTGTGTTGGTAAAAAAGTGCATGTTGTTGATGCAGAATTTTGTACGAAACTCATGACTAGACTGGTAGAAAACATCATGGGAAAACATGAATTAAGAACATTTTAATAAAAGCAGCAATTAAGGTGTGTAAGGAACATTAGTTAGCAAAACTGTAATAGCTTTGAAGTGAGTGGAAGAGAACTACTAAAAAGGAGGCAGTCTCATTCTTTGATTTTCAGTAATATTTTTATGTGTTAGCTGAACAGGACACTTTTTTTCAATCCTTCAAATCTAGGAGTGTTTTTTGAGGGGTTTTTTTTAATGCTACTCAAGAGGAAATTCACCTCCACAAGAGGGGAAAAAAGTTCCATCTTCAAAGTTGAAACTTCCACAGTTTATTGCCGGAGACAATATGTTTACAGGTTTTGAATCATCATTTCTGAAAATTAACCTCTGTTTCTTACAGGCTGCACATGAAACATGCAGGAAATTCTTACATGAGGAGAATGGTGAAAGAGTCATTATGGTAACTGATCCCCCATTTGGAGGTTTAGTGGAAGCACTGGCTTCTAGTTTTAAAAAACTGATGGCAATGTGGAAGGAGACAGAAAAAGAAGGTATGTATTATAGCCAGATGGGTGGCTTCTGCTGTAACATCATTTTAAGAAAAAAGTACCTATTTATAAGTCTCTGATTCTTATTCAGGTGAATGTGAGCATACTCATGTTCTAATTTCTTAAGATGAATTACCATATATCTAATTTACTCTCCTGATATTTTTAATTCAGTAATGCCCAATTCTCAAAGCCTGCCTTAAAAACTTTTCCCATTTTTTTCAAATCTACTTTGCAATTAAAATAGACTGTAAAGGTAGAGAAAAATAAGCTATGAAACTGGTACTGTTTCTTAGCAACTTAAGTGGATGTCAAATGGGGCTTACATGTGAAATGTACATGTAATGTACAAAATAATACATGTAATGTAGAAAAAAAGTACACGGCTCCACATGTGAAATATGCCAAAACTTTCTGTCGCCTAAGAGAACTAGTTCATCTGCCCAACGTGACATACATATCTGTGTTTATATATTTGGAATGTTCACTGTAAATTTCTCATGCTGCATGTACTATGTTTTTGTCCTGTGTACACCAGTGTCTTTTCATTACTAGGTCATGACAACAAAGAGATGCCCATGTTCTGGATATTTCCGTACTTCTTTGAGTCTCGTATTCTTGACTTTTTCCCAAGCTTCAGTATGATGGATTACCAGGTATGGCTGAACCCAGTGAATCAACAATACCAGTTGTGTGCAATGTGAAGAGGAATATGAGTGAAAGCAGGTGCAGTGGTAGCACTTCTCTGTAGCTGGGCCTTGCTCATGTGAAGCCTGGATTCTGTATTTCTATTAGTCGTATTTGTGATAACTCGATCATGTTCCTGTTATGTATCTTTAACTCATCTGTCATTTATGCATGACCTCGTTTCTTCTGACATGCTCTCAGCATAACAAAATTTGCACTAATTCTGACAGGTGTTTGTTATAGAGGTGAGAGGTAACTTGATGAAGAGTATTTAATTTTCCACAGATGTTGTAATGTCAGTGGATAGTGCCCAGCCCTGGGAAAAAAAAAAAAAATCTATATTAGAAAATTAAGGTCTTTCATCTCCAAAACTGCTGGGATCAGAGTACAATTACAGTGATGGAAATGTTTGGAGTTACTTAATAAGTGAACTTGTCAGTGATAAAGCAATTAACTGGTATCAGCTTCTTCAATATTGAATCCATTCTCCGCATAGTTTAAACAAACATACTTCAATGTGTTTTGAGAGTTCAGTCATGGGTTCATGATGCTAAAGGTTTATTTTTTCATGTAATGACTCTGCATGAATTTTGATATTGATGTTCTGAGCAATATATTTGTGTCTTGTAGAATGAAAATTTGTTGAAGAATAGTGGAAACCCATGCTAGGCTAGACTGCATTCCTGCCGTGTTCAGAGCTGAGAGTTTTTGTGACAAGTCTCTGAAGGCAGTGCTGGAA